ACAATATTTTCTACTGTCATTTGATCACCATCATTTATCGTCTACAATGTCCGTTCTTTGCCTATTCCGTGACATTTCTAGCATTAGTTAAAGAATTAGTTATATTTTCATCATGGCTTTTTGCGTTAGGTATATTTAGAAGACTTATCGGTTTTTTTATTTCGTTCTTATATTTAATCCATATACAGTGTTTCAAGATCAAGGCCAGTGCATYCAAGGCACGTCATGGAGGATTGAGTACAGCGATGCCATCGAAGACCATGCTATTGTTGGTCCTCTCTTAAAGTCCATTACGGCTTTAACCGACAACGACTGCAAAGATKCCTGCTTCATGCACGTCCCTGATGTATGCTACATGTTCAACTATCACCCAAAGACCAAGAAATGTGAACTTTTCTACAAAGATCGTGCTTCAGAATACAGAGTAGAAATGCGGAGTGGATATTTATTTAAAACACTAAAGGTAACCAGGGAATTCGAAATACCTAATCAGTCCGAGTTGAGTTCAGACTTAACTTAGATTGATTCGTTCTGATTTTTAACATGGATCAACTATTTCAGTGCAAGTCAAACCAATGCCTTAACGGCGGGCAGTGCTACTCCCTGGGACAAAGTACACAATGCTTATGCAGACACGGACGCAGTGGACCAACTTGTGCTTAATTCAAGTAAGATATGCGAATGTAAATTGTCTTCCTGGTTCTGTCGAATAGCGTTTACAAGTCACTATGAAACCATAAGTTCAAGAAAAAATGTAAGAGAAATGCAAAGAATTCGGAAATATAATTGTTTAGCAAGGTTGTTACACAACCACGACACTTACTCATGAGATCTCAGTTACCGCACGTTCACACGTTCAATATATCGCCGCGGTCAATACTTGTAAATGAAAACAAGAATATCCTCTCCTTCCAATGTTTTTGATTGGGAATGCACTGAAAACATAAAAATATTTTCCTGAAGAATTATATGCGATACGCGTAGGTMAAAAATGGAAGTACTCGAAGAGTTTCTCTTGGGGATTTTTGCTAGCCAACGTTAAAATATTATACTATTTGATTTCATGTGTGCTTTTGTTGTTGATTTATAGGCCTCCTTAATTCAATGACAGCATGATTCCACAAGAGCACTGCCACCCTGGGCAATACAGGCTGGATTTAATCTTTTTTATAGTTTATTTATGCTGCTTCACGTCGTCTTTAAGGCTGTTAGTAGCACTTCAAAAAGATGAGAAAAGCTACATTCCGCCATAACATATTATGAATTTAAGCTATAATTGTTTTTGTAAGTCAAATAAATATCAACATAGTTAGTTTAACACTTTGTTGTTTTCCTCTTTTGATGGACTTATTGATTGCGAAAGAAAGGGTGGATGGATGGATGAATTGAACTAAGGATAGAATAATGAACGAATTCATTCTGGTGAGATGAAAGTTTGAGTCAAGGGAAGCCTGATTTACACCGAATTGCAAAAACCGGCCCGTCGGAGTAAAATAATTAGAAAATTATTTCAAGACACTGAGAGAGGATCAGCTGCTTGTCTTTTGTTTAGATCGCTGAATCTCATAAAAACGTTTTCTGCATGATTGTAGGTATGAACCTCCTTTAACGATAACGTTGCCGTACAATCCTGGTAAAATAGAAAATTCTATACATCAGTCCAAAGATCGCACCGTGTAGCAGAATTTATTATATATTGTATCAGAATTGAAAACAAGCAGAAACGTTCATCTCATCAGGTAATCTGACGCTAAATAATAACATTTCCATAACTTCAAAAGTTATCAGAGCCGTCAGAACCGTTTAAATATTCGATTGATTATTCAAAAAATTGTTCAATTTTATTCAAGAAGTCATTCTAGTATCATTTATGAAGGAGCGTTTCAAAATTTACTCGATTGCGCTCAATTACACTGACTTATTGAGATAAGCTTTTCAACTTTGCGATAGACATTTGATGAGCTCTTGCTAAATTTTGTGAAAAGCTGTTTTTCATGGAATTTKCATATTGTTTTTGGTAATTACAGTACTTACCCGCTTATAAGAACCTGCAATTTAAGAAACTGTTTAGACTAAAATTTGAAACAGGTTTTTATAGATAGGTTCTAATAAAAATTTACCTATAAAATTTTTCATGAAAAAATATATCTCAAACTGTAGTGAGCTTGAACATGTATACACTTTTAAATTTGGTATAAATAATACTTGGAAACCTTGTAAATTTTAAGGGATAAATAAGAACCTATATTTAAGAACCTGCTTAGCCTAAAATTCAAATAAGTACCATTTACATAAGAACCCGTTTAGGCTAAGTGAAAAAATGGGTTCTTGTAAGTGGGTAAGTACTGTATAAGAAAATTCTTGAAGGCAATGGTCTTGCAAGAAACTGCAACTCACTGAGAACATTAGAAAAGAAATTAGACACAGAGTTTGAGTGCTTTCTTCCAGAAAACAGCAATTTATTGTCGATGACGCACCACAGGGATCCCATAATAGTTGACTTTGAAGCATAAAGAATAATCATACAGGAATTTAATTTGTCCAAATCAATTTCTTTTTTCATAAAAGTGCTCANCTATGCAACCATAAGTTCAAGAAAAAGAGCAAGAGAAATGCAAAGAATTCGGGAATAAAATTGACCAGCAAGGTTGTTACACAACCACGGCGCTTACTCATGAGATCTCGGTTACCGCACGTTCACACTTTTAATATATCGCCGGTCAATACTTGTAAATGAAAACCAGCATCTCTTTCTACTGTTTTTGATTGGGAATGCATTGAAAACATAAAAATCTTTCCTTGAAGAATGATATGCGATAGGCTTAGGAGAAAATGGAAGTACTCGAAGAGATGTTCTTGGTACTTTTAGCTAGCCATCGATATTATATTATTTGATTTCATGTATGTTTTTGTTGTTGATTTATAGAGCTCCTTAATTCAATGAAAATACAGCAAGAWTCCACAAGAGCACTGCTACCCTGGTTGCCAGAGAATGCATTTGATTTTTCTTATAGCTTATCTACAGCGCTTTGCGCCGTCTTTAAGGACGTAGGACTGCAAAGATAAAAAGCTATCTTCCATCTTGAGAATATTATCAATTTAAGCTATGATTGTTTTTGAAAATAAATAAACATAAGAATGCACTCAAACAAAAATTTCAATAGTTTTAAAAGNAATAAGTACCATTTACATAAGAACCCGTTTAGGCTAAGTGAAAAAATGGGTTCTTGTAAGTGGGTAAGTACTGTATAAGAAAATTCTTGAAGGCAATGGTCTTGCAAGATACTGCAACTCACTGAGAACATTAGAAAAGAAATTAGACACAGAGTTTGAGTGCTTTCTTCCAGAAAACAGCAATTTATTGTCGATGACGCACCACAGGGATCCCATAATAGTTGACTTTGAAGCATAAAGAATAATCATACAGGAATTTTTAAATAGAATGTAATTATATAGCGCTTTATAAATTTATTGAATTATTAATCTTTTAAAACAATATAATGTCATTAACTGCGTATTTTGTATGCCTCTTTTATACTGGGCTCTTTCATGTTTTCCCCTTATTTCGTTATATCTCCTCTTTTTTATTTCAAACTTACTGAAAAATAAAAAAGTGTTACTACTCAAAGTCAGTGATCAAGCATTTGTTATCATGGRCAGCTGCAGCAAAAAATCATTGCGGGGGAGGGGGGGGTCTCTGTGAAAATATATAGTGCCATAGTCTCAGGTTATCTATTTAATGATTACATAAGAAGGTGAATTCTCATGAGATCATTTTTAATTTATCTTGTTCCCTTATATATGGTTCATTTATACTGACACAATTGGTCTCTAAATAGCCACTAATTGCTAGTATTAGTTTGATTTTATTTCATGGTTTTCCTGCGTTTGCTCTAAAGCACTTTCGTTGTAAATATATTAATTAAACTTTAATTACAAGTCATAAATGTAAAGCTTTCAGAGAGTCGCAAAATTAAACTCCGGCGGAGTGTCAAAACGTCATTCAAACTTGCCAAGGATGTTGAAGAGTTTAACATGGAACAAAGGTGCTGCGAAAAGAAAAGAGAAAATGTTCATGTGACAAATTTGTTATAGTTTCACAATAAAATTATTATTTGAATTTAAGTCGAGTTTGTACTAGTGAAACAGAAATTGAGAACATAACATTGGTATATTAACAACGGTGCCACAACAGTTCAAATTAATTATTGCAAATGTTTTTTGTTGATTGGGATAATTAATTAATAACTCAAACTGTCAGTATTTCTAGGTTTTTCACTTATAGTAATTAGAGCTAAAGACACTCGTATTTTAGCACCGTTTGTATCTTATTGTTAACATCACTGGCGACATCGTGCTCAAAGACTATTGGTCCTGATCTTTTTGTATTCTTCCTAAAGAAATCAAGTAATTGTGGTAATAAGAGGTATTTTCAAKCTCAATAGCAAAGTCACACTTAGAAAATYATCGCCGGAATTTTTGGTCTCTTACACAACACCGTCCATTTTTTWAAATAAAGTAAACTAGAATAGCATTGACTAATGGCCTTTCTTTAATTTCTGTAAAGTTTTTTCAAAGAAAAAATAGATAAATAAAAAGATATAATAACAATAATAAATAATAACAAAAATAAATAATGGAAATTAAGAAAACAATAAAATTTTAAAAGATTGAAAAGCAGTATAACTCTGTCTCTAAAAAAATATGTAATTCATCTTTCAGAAATGAAAATGTAAACTTACAATAACAAACCTGTATGCATATGTTCTGGTACATTGTAGCTCCATGGAAACGTCAAGTGTGTTATCAGTAAATTTGTACAAAGCCTGCATTTGCATGCAGATATTTCTTCCAATTGATATTCATATCCAACTCGTACGAAAACCAACATCCTTTCAAAGCGGCTGTTTTCTTTAAACATATCCACTTTGTAAAACGTTAAGAAAACWATCCCGTATGGTCATCGGACTCGTATTTTCGTGTAAACGGTAAGTTGGCGRAAAAGAATGAAAGCATATTTGTGCTTTTGAAAACATCCCGATATGTGTTCGCATGTAAACTTCCACTTTCTGAACACGAGGTCCTCCATTGTGTTCCGCTTTCTATCTTTTAAAAGCACCTCTGKCAACGAAAACATCTTGTTCTTTTTCAAAAGGAGCGAGTGGGCATCGAATTGAACAAAAAAAAAATAAGCGGAACAAGCGACGTTATAACCTTTTTCGAAGTCTTTAGCAAAATAAATTTCGAGGTTTTCAATCTGAACAGCTTTTATGTTAACTTTCTGTACTTCTTTTCCATTGGTATTTCAGCTTTTATGTTATTTTAGTTTATTTTCATCTAAATGTCCTTTTTAAAGATTATTTAGGCATCAAATTTAGGAATTAATAGGAATTTTTTGAGCTATGAAACGAGGGATTAGACGTTAAATTCATGCATAGTTTGTAGAGGGAAATGGTAGGAAGCCTGTTTTTGTAGGTTTTTGTGCACTTCTTTTCCAATCGTCTTAATCGTGGGCAATCAATTTTTTTAGCCATACTGGTCACACCTAAATGATTCAGGCTGACAACATCAAAACAAAATCAGTTGCTGTATATGCTGAAAAACGTCCCATGGAAAAAGTGGGAAAAGCCCTCGGTCTACTACAGTAAACATCCGCTATTAAGAATTTTTTTGAAAGCCTAGCAAAAATGTTTCTTGTTTAAAGCAGGTGTTGGTAATTTAGGCAATAACAGATTCTTAATTAATTCAGAGTGTCTAAACGTCAGGCAACCTGACGTTTAGTCCCAGATCTAAATGTCAGGCAGTCTTTATTCCACAAAAAGGGTTGCATGGCGTTTGGACACGATATATTATTGTTTTTTTTATGATTAGAATTATAAATAAGCTTTGATAACTTTCAAGTAAAAAATAAACTATCAATTCAAAACGCAACTGTAACTACAACTGGACATAAAYATTTGTGTCACAATGGTCCTCAAATTGAGCTCAGTGTAATGAATGTTTTTTTGTAGTTTTTTTTTTATCCTGTAATTACACGTAAAATCCACATTATAGGAACCTGCAAGATCACGTTTTKCTAAGCAGGTTCTTATTTAAGGGCTATTAAAATATCAAATTTCTGTGGCTAGAGTTCTTCATCATATAAGTTCTTAATTGCACTGTATTTCTCTGTACAGACCTCGTGATTGTTTAATAGACAGCTAATACTGACTATCATATAAAAACCTCTTCAGTAGAATTTTCGAGCTAGAACGGAAATAAGTGGTGATTTTGGCTAGAGTCTGGAGTTGTTTCTGACCTTTTTTCATTCATCTTGTAGTGGATCAAAAAGACATAGCACACCTGTATGCATATGTTCWCTTCTATAGAAAGACAGCATCAAAGCAACCTTGAAGTTCAATGGAAAAGGCTCACGTAGCGTATTGTTTTTCAGAGACAACTTTGTCTCTTACTTCACCGTTCTTTTCGTCCAAACAATTTATTGGCTAACGAGCTCTTTTTCAGACAATGTTCAACTATTATTTGAATATGATATTCCTTTGTTCATCCCACAGGAATGAAAAGAATATATAACACAAGCCTGTTTGTATATGCTTACTGAAAGAAGGACAGCAATTAGAGATACACAGAAACTCCATGGAACAGCCACATCAACAAATAATACAATGATAGGTATGCTTGTACTGAACAGTTCTGTGTGTACGAAAGCTGAATACACCCTTTTAATAAGTCCCGAGGTATTGTGTTCTCCGCASTTGACGTCAAATTTA